GAAGGGAAGAAGGGCGCAAGGAAGGAAAGATTAGGAAGAGGAGACGACTTGAGCAAGGGAGGAAAGAAAGGATGAAGGGAAGAAGGGCGCAAGAAAGGAAAGAAAGGATGAAGGGAAGAAGGGCGCAAGGGAGGAAAGATTAGGAAGAGGAGACGACTTGAGAAAGGGAGGAAAGAAAGGATGAAGGGAAGAAGGGCGCAAGGAAGGAAAGAAAGGATGAAGGGAAGGAGGGCGCAAGGAAGGAAAGAAAGGATGAAGGGAAGAAGGGAGCAAGGGAGGAAAGAAAGGATGAAGGGAAGAAGGGAGCAAGGAAGGAAAGATTAGGAAGAGGAGAAGACTTGAGCAAGGGAGGAAAGAAAGGATGAAGGGAAGAAGGGCGCAAGGAAGGAAAGAAAGGATGAAGGGAAGAAGGGAGCAAGGAAGGAAAGATTAGGAAGAGGAGAAGACTTGAGCAAGGGAGGAAAGAAAGGATGAAGGGAAGAAGGGCGCAAGGAAGGAAAGAAAGGATGAAGGGAAGAAGGGAGCAAGGAAGGAAAGATTAGGAAGAGGAGAAGACTTGAGCAAGGGAGGAAAGAAAGGGTGAAGGGAAGAAGGGAGCAAGGAAGGAAAGATTAGGAAGAGGAGAAGACTTGAGCAAGGGAGGAAAGAAAGGATGAAGGGAAGAAGGGAGCAAGGGAGGAAAGATTAGGAAGAGGAGACGACTTGAGAAAGGGAGGAAAGAAAGGATGAAGGGAAGAAGGGAGCATAAATGATGGAAGAAAGGGAGCAAGGAAGGGGAAAGAAAATGTGCAGAGAAAGGAAGTGAAAAGGAACATGGAGGAAGATTGAGGTGGGAGGAAAGAAGGAGTCAAGGTGGGATGGAGGACAGAAGGAAAGGAGGAAGGAAGAGGAGAAAGGGATGAGGGAGGGATAAAGGGGACAAAGAACAGAAGGAACGGCAAAAGTAAAGAGGGAGTAAACAGGAGGAGGAAGATAAGGGAGGGAAGAAGGGTATGAGGGAGGCAAAAAAAGTAGTATTGATGGTGAGAAGGGGATGGAAGATGATTTAAGAGATAGGAGGAATGGGAAAGAGGAGAGGAGGATAATTAGAAAGGAATGACAAAGGAGAAAGGAAAGAGATCAGGAGGTGAAGGAGGAGGATGGAGGAGCAGGGAAGAAGGAAACGGGGAGACAAGTTGAGGGGGAGGGAGGAAGAGAACGAGAGGAGGGGAGGAATGAAAAGGAGAAGACAAGGTTGAAGGGAAATGAGGGAGGAAGGAGGGAGCGGGGCAGGAAGAATAATAGGAAGGAAAGAGAAAAGAGGGACGACAGGGGGGAGGGATGGAGAAGAAGAAGAAAAGGAGGCGCGGGGAGAGAAGAGGAGGGAGTGATGGATAGATTGAGACAAGAAAATGAGGTTTTAATAGAGACGGAGGGATGAAGGAGAGAGAGAGATAAATGTCTTCATTAATTCACTGATGGGGAGAGCGAGGTAGGGACACAGTGGGAGAGAGAGAGAGAAGGGGGGGGGGTCTGTTTCTTCTTCTCTACTTCTTTATTCATCAGAGTCCCTGCAGACGGATCCCCCCCCCCACACGCACACACAGTGAAACATAGGTGTGTGTGTCACTTTTATTTTCCTTGTGTGTACTTCATTGTGTGTATGTTTTTATTTTTTGCTTGTAATGTTTACTTCAGTGTGTGTGTGTGTGTGTGTGTGAAGTTGTGTATTTGTGACTGATTTTGTTTGTATGTGTGTCTTTTTGTGTGTGTACCTTTTTCCCTACAGAATGGATGTGTGTGTTTAAAGTTTTTTTGTGGGTGTGCCTTTTTGTGTGTATTGTTTGTGTGCGACCGTGTTTGCATGTTGTTGTTTTTTACTATTTTTGTCCGACCGTGTGTGTGTGTGTGTGTGTGTGTGTGTGTGTGTGTTCTGTGCTTTTATCTGTGCGTGTCTTTGTGTATATTTGTGTCTTTCTGTGTATTTTATAGTTTGTGTGTGTGAAAGAGTTTGTTCATCTGTGCTTTTGTTCACACACGTTTGTGTCTTTTTTTTTGTGCGTGTCCGTGTGTGTTTAAGATTATGTGTTTGTGAGACTTTGTGAATTTGTGTACCCTTATTATCATTAGTTTGTGTTTTACGTTTAAAGTGTGTTGTTGTGCTTTATTGTTAAATTTTTTGTGTGTCACATCCCTGTGCAGTGTGTGTGTGTGTGTGTGTGTGTGTGTGTGTGTGTGTGTGTGTGTGTGTTTGCTTGGACGACTTTTTTTTGGTTGAGTGTGTCTTTGTTTAGGTGTGTGTGTGTGTGTGTGTGTGTGTGTGTGTGTCCCAGGGGTTTTCCCTCCTGTGTCGGCGGGCAGCATATGGGACTTGGCGCTAATGACCACACCTCCTCGCCAAAACCTGATTTACACACACATGCACGCACACACACCCATGGGACTGGACTGTGTGTGCATGTGCGTGTGTGTGTGTGTGTGTGTGTGTGTGTGTGTGTGATGTGGGTGGAAGCTGAAATCTGATTAAAGTCGTGTTGGCGACAATTAACAGCCTCTCAAACCCGCCGCCCCGGCCCTGTGGGACTCGTGTGTGTGTGTGTGTGTGTGTGTGTGTGTGCGGTTCAGGTGGCAGTTCTCGGTCTTAATCCACCCTCTCATCCACCTCTGAATAAATCTTGTGACCCCTCCCCTCCCTCCTTTCATCCCTCCGTCCATCCATCTCTCATTAAACCTCGTGTGTCTTTCTCCACCTCTTTTTTTAATCCCTTGCTCCACCCCCTCACCCCCTCACCCCCTCACCCCTCTCTCTTCGTTCTGTCCCTCCGTCTGTCTGAGGATGGAGGGATGGAGAAATGAAACACAGGAACTAAAAGAGGGAGAGATGGATAATCAGAAGCGTGGCGACCCGTCTCCTCGATTGTGTTTTCAGTCTTGTAAAGACCCGCCTCCTCCTGACCTCTGACCCCTGTGTGTTGATTGACAGCTCCTTTCAGCTCCTTCGCTGCTCTGCGTACATTTAACCAGAAAAAGCTTATTAGGAGTCGGCTGTTCATTTTTCCACCAAGTCTGTTTGTCGCTAGCCAAAGTTAGCATCCCAGCTAATATCACAGTTAGCGTCAATCACAGAGGCACCGTGCTAACTAAGCTAGCTAGCGCCACCCTGTTGTACAAATGTGGTCACTTCAGGTTCCAAGAAAACAAGATGGCGACGGCCAAAATGCCGAACTTGAGGCTTTAAAACGGTAGTCCACAAACATCTGCTTCTTTTACAAAGACACTTTTGTCTTTCCATCTCTCCATCTTTAATGTCTCCCTCTAGTCTTTTCTTCAATCCAACATTTCCATCATCCCTCCATCCTTTCAACCGTCGCCATTTAGTCATTCGTCTAGCCTTGTTTGTTTATCTTCACTTCATCATCCCTCCATCCTTCCCCCCCGCCTCCTTTCATTCCTCTACCCTTTCTTTAAGCTGTTTTCCATTTGTTCATTAACCCGAGCCTTGTTTCCTCCTTCCATAGCTCCTTTGTTCCTTTTCTTTGTTTCTTTGGATGCATCTCTCTTTCCTGTCGTCCTTCACTTCTCCATCCTCATTTTACTTCTGCCGTCTTTTTAACCTGTATTTCTCATTCTACCCCCCCCCACACTTGTTCACATGTCCTCGCTCCTGTGAGTATTTCCTTCATTTTTACCGTATTACCATTTTAATCTTTCTCTCCTCCCTTTGTCTGTCCTTCCTTTTCTTCTCCCATAACGACTCTATCAGTCTGTCTCCATCCTTTAATCCCTGTCTTTTCACCCATCTCTCCCAGCGAGGCCAATAACTGGTGGACAGCTGGTGCTCACACACACACACACTGTAACACACACACACACACACACACACACACTGTAACACACACACACACACACACACACACACACACACTGTAACACACACACACACACACACACACACACACACTGTAACACACACACACACACACACACACACACACACTGTAACACACACACACAGTCTGTCTGGATGTTCACTGATGTTTCTCACGTTTCAGACACAAACTGTAATAATTATATAATAATATGTAGGTGAAACGAACACAACTCTTCACACACACACTATAAAACATTTGAACATTAATAAAGAGAAAACAATAAAAATAAAACACAAAAGCATAAACCCACCATCATAAACCAGAACATAAGAAACACAGGTCCTCCAACCTAAACAACAACAGCGTAGGTCTGCCTCCCTGCCTCGTAAATTAGTAAGTCAGTTAGGTAAGTCACGTGTCGGAAGCAGGGCTGGACAATAAAACAATAACAATAATTATCAATATAATATAATTTTCAATAACAAATATTCAGTAAATTTTAGTCACTTGAATCATACACGAATTAGGACTTACTTTGTTATTAAGTTGTTTATTTTGTTGAGGAAAAAGGACTGAAAAAAGCTTTTACTTAATTTTTCTCCTGCATATTTGTTGACAAAGATTTGATCATGATTGTTTTGAATGTTCTACCTCAGATTTGTGAAGCGATTCGCTGTTTGGCATCAAGTGTTCTTCAACTTTCCCTCAGGATCGAAAATCAGCCTTCAAACTCGGATGAAACAACGATATCGTGATAACATTTTTGGCCATATCGTCCAGCCCTAGCCGTAAGTCAGGAACGCTACTTAAGTTAAAGCTCAAATTACAATTACTTGGTTTTACATGGGACTACAGCGCCGTTCTCCTCAGTGAAGGTCATGGGTTTGCCTTTCTGTCCATTTAAAATACATCACCCGACTTCCCCCTTTGCGCCTATTGTCTCGCCACGAGACGTCGCTGCCACAGTTGACGTGTAAATGGGTCGTAATAACGTGCTGCACAAATGACCTATTTGGTCGTTTTTCTGTTGGAATAAAACACACAACTCACATCTCCCTGCTGCCTTTACACACACACACACACACACACACACACACACACACAGCTGTCGATACGGCTGATGTGTGTGTGTGTGTGTGTGTCTCTTAGGGGTTTGCGAAGGGCAGAACAAACATTTGTTTGTGCAGCGATCCATCTCAGCCCGGCCTGCTTCCTCCATAACAAACAGCCCGGCGGCGGCGGCGGGGGGGGGGGCGAGAGAGAGATCTGGTCCACCTGACTCAGGTAAAACATGATTGACAGCTACCTGTGATGTTTTGAATAAACGTGGCTGTATCTGATACATGATGGTCTTGTTATTTGGTTATTTAGATTCCCGTTGTCTGCGCTAACAACAATATTTTCTCCTGCTACCGTCGAGATACATGTGAAAATGGTGCACACAAGATATAACAGTACTAATTACAAACACTGAGATACAAATGGCACAGTAAATCAGAAGCATGTGTAGTGCAGTAACTTAGCTCTGCTTAATGGCATCCCCTCTGAAACATTTGATCACTCTCAGTTCATAAATAAAAGCAGGTTGTATGTTTCTCTCTCCAGCAACATCGCTTCTTCTAAACAAATTCCATGTTTAGCCATTTTACTTCTGGCGTAAACACATAAAATTATAACAATTTACCAAAATGCTTTATTACTTTCCTCGGTTAAGAATCCCAGTACACGGGTAAATATATTTTCACATATTTCAAATTTTAGGCCTCACTTGTTTTTCAGGAAACAAGTTCAGAAGATGTGCATATGTTATAAAAAAGGCAGTGGTACATTTACTCAAGTTAATACAATTAGAGGTATTTATACTTTACTTGAGTGTTTTATTGTCATGCCACTCTTTACTTCTATTCCACTACATGAGGAGTTTATAAAATATGATGTTTTGTTCTAAATTTAACTACCCAACGGTTTATACAAGGACAACTGAAACGATTAGATTATTGACAGAATTTTTAATGGCACCTATGTTGATGATGTCATGTAAGCAACCCCTGATAAACATACCATACTAATAGTACTTTTTATTTTTTTAAAGTATTTTTAAAAGAAGGTACTTTGACTCAAGAAGAAATTTAAATTGAAGATTTCTACTTTTAGTGCTGTAATATTTTGCAAGGGTAACTTTACTTTTACTCAAGTACAGGATTTGTGTACTTTGTCCACCACTGTAAAAATTAAATTAAAGTTAATTATCTTGTCATTTTTTGTTTGTCTGGTCTTCAGGCGAAAGCTTAAATAAAACTTTAAGTTTGTATGCTTTAGTTTGAACTACCGTTAGCTGTTTTAGTTGGATGGTTGACGTTAGCATTAACTGGCCACCGCTTAGATATAACTATTTAGCTTATTTTGCATTAGCTTTATGGATAGCATTTGAGCTGTCTGGCTGGATTTAAGTAGCCATTGCTTTACTTTAATTGTTTAGCTGATTAGCTTTAACTTTTATTTTTAGCTTTAGCTTTAGTTTTATTGTTAGCTTTAGTGCTAACTGTTTGGTTTTCAATGGTTAGCTTTAGTTGCTTCACCTGCATCTAGGTATCTTGGTAGCTTTCACTGGTTAGCTTTTGGTAGCTTTACGTGTTCAACCATAGCTGGTAACCTTTTATTGCTTTAGGTTCATGGTTAACTTTAGTAGCCTAATTATTGGCGTAGCTTCTTTAGTTTCATTCATCGCTTTAGCACTAACTGTTTAGCTTTAATTGCCATTAATAAGTGTAGAGTTTGATATTAACTAGTTAACTTCAAATGGTTAGCTTAGTTTCCTTTAGTTTTGCATCCTTAGCATTAGCAGTTGGGTAGCTGTAAATTGTTAGCTTGAGGTGCTGTTCTTTTATGGTTTAATTTTACTGTAAATAAATTGTGGACTTATTGGACTTGGACATGTTCCTGTTTTGCTGACTTTAGTCTCTCAATTTGGTAGCACAACCGAGCTTGAGTATTGAATGATACCAGCAAAATAAAAACAAATGTGTTTAACAAAGAGATTGACAGGGAAAGAACAAAGTGTGGAGAAAGTCAGCTCAAGGTTATACTCAAAGATCCTGTTTGGAGACAGGAACATCGGCCCTGTAGTGTTATCGTGTGTAATCCTGACATTTACATGTTTGATCTGCCTGTGGATGTTTGGAATTGTCTTTGTCAAGCAGGTTCCTCTGCTCCACAACAACAACAACAACAACAACAACAGTATTTTCTGGCTGAGCACTCTCCGTTCTGACTGTTAAATATTAAAGCAGCGTAAGTGAGCCCTGCAGAGAGCCAGCCCCGCTGCTAAAAATACTCTGCAGATAAAAATAGATCACGTTTCATGTTGAAGGTCTTAATTTCATTCAGAGGGAAACGTGCCTGCTGTTGTTTTTAAAATTACAGCTCTGTGTGTGTGTTGTCCTCTCCGAGTCAGGTCGGCTTTAATCAGCGAGGACAGTTAATGTGGAGTCTGTAGCTGGCAAATTAACAGGGATGTTTCTAAATATAGTGCATGTCTTTTAACCTTATGTATTAGTCTGACAAAGAGAAATCATTCAGTATCTCCACAATACACCTTACATAGTGCGTTTAGAAATCCATAATGCAACATGAGCTTTGGTCTGTGTCGTTCAATACATACACCTACAGATCTATGCATATAATATACTTAAATAACCAAAATCCCTTGGTTCCACACTAAATCTTTGACTATGATCTTGAACATATTGTTAGAGGTTTCTCATTTAGCAGATTCTGGATCAAGTACTTTGACATTATATTCTGCTTGTCAGATAGATTACCTTATTGTTGTTTTGTTTAAACCACAGACGGTATAAAAGAAGTGGACGTAGCTGCAGAGACGCCCCCCGTAGGTTTGTGGACCATCGATCTGAAGCCTCAAGTTTGGCATTTTGACCGTCCCCATTTTGTTTTTTCGGAACCAGATGTGACCTTATATGGACAAGAGGGTGGCGCTAGCTAGTTTGGTTAGCAAGGTAGCAACTGTGATATTAACTGGAATGCCATTTTCTCCCACTGTACTGGCACCTGGTGGAATAGTTGATTTGCCAAACGATATCTTTTGACACATCTCATTCAAGTCTTGGTAGCTTGTAAAAATGTTTACATATTGAATGGGACATTGTATTTAAGGGTTCTTGGTATAGTATCCAATTTATGCTTGTTAGTATTTCTACCTTTAAGAGGGAAATGTTGTCCTTTTTTATTTTTCTACATTTATCGAACTACTGTAATTACCAGTTACTTTGATTTTAGATATGATCAGCTTATTAAATATGATATATTGTCATAGATTAAAGGCCCATCGTGCCCTCACAGGTGTTCACACATTAGAGTCTGCTGGGATTTACATGAAGTCATAACTATGTACAACAAAACTAACAGGAAAGCCTCGGAAGTGTGCTGCACACAACACACTGCTGCTACACACTGTGGTGTTTTACTTAAGTACATCTGAGTAGTTCTTCCTCACATGAGGGAATCATAACGAGCGCAGTTGGTTGTCTCCGTGTTGTCACTGTTGTGCGTCGGGACACATCTGCATAAATCTTAATCTTCCTCAACGTCTCCAGGTCGCAGCAGGACTTTTGAGTCTGTAGTTGCAGGATGTTATTTGGAGTTTCCAGTCACAATGAATGGCAGCTGTCTGCATCCCATTTTCTACTAACAGCAATGTTTTCTTTATTTAACCAAGACCACAAATTTATTCAAAGCCTAACCACAGAGGTGGCTGAAAACAGTCATATGTAACCAACCGATCTGGAAAGCGCTGACAAACAATATCCAGCTGATAGGGAAGCCAAGCCAGGAAACACATACATGTGTTTTTTATTCTTATGTAATGTATTTTTCTCATTTTGGTTGGAGGACATCTTAATTATTAAAAATATTCAGTGTGAGGAATGTAAATATTGATGCATTGACTGGGAACATTTCTAGAGATTTCCTGCTTTCAGATCAGTTTATATATTCTTGTACATGTTCCTCTGCTGGTTAAGTAAATTCATTATTTTCAGTATTTTTACTCAGCATCAGCCATATCTATGTCATGATGCGTGTAAAGTGGGAACCAGTGACTCCAGGTGTCGCATAAATGCAGTTAAATGGGCTGAGTTGCCTCCCACTTCTTCCTAAATAATATCCAAATTTAATAAAAAGTGAAACCTACTTTATTAAAAAGATCACACATGAATAAAAGAAAACATGCTCCTTTATAAAAGAAACTGGCTCCAATATGTTTTAAAATCCTCAGTGCTGGAGTCGAGTAAAGTTTTATTGCTTTCAGGCAGCGAACTGTGAGCTTCCGCTGAGCCGAGGTTCATCCTGCAGCTTGAACGAGTCTCAGTCAAATCTGAAGACAACACCCACCAGATCCTTCTGATGACATCATCAACACAGGACAAATCCCGTACACGCTCCTCTGGCGGGGACTCTGCAGACTCTCTGGATGTTTGTGGGAGCTTTAGTCTCCTAACGAGCGTCTCTGGGATTTGTCCTGTAAAGACTTCGGCTCTGCTGCCTTCAGGGACGCTCGCTCATGTTTGCAGGTCTGGCACTGTCTGAGCTTGATCTGCACACTGTAAAACAAACCCTGCCTTGTGGGGAAAAAATCTCAGTTCATTGTAATAATCTAAAGAACTGGAGAAACACAGTGGGTTTAAAGGGTAAAAAATGATGTAATTGATTTGCATCCTCAAAATAAATCCAAATTAAAACACTGCATAGCGGCATAAACTTCAGTGCAGCGCCATGTGATTTACTTCTAAAGCAGCAACATCTTTATTATATAATCAATAATATTAACTGCACCGAGTCCAGATAAAGTGATGGAGTCTCGCTGCTGTATATAAATCTTTGTGTTGGAGCACAGAGCTGTACCCTGGATACTTTCTTGTGAAGAGAATATATATCCAAAGCATCAAATATCAAAAGTCTGTGAGGTACTCTCAAACTCGTTTATTTTTTTACTTGTAGGCAGGATTATCAGGGTGTTGTCCAGGCAGGATTATCAGGGTGTTGTCCAGGCAGGATTATCAGGGTGTTGTCCAGGCAGGATTATCAGGGTGTTGTACAGGCAGGATTATCAGGGTGTTGTACAGGCAGGATTATCAGGGTGTTGTCCAGGCAGGATTATCAGGGTGTTGTACAGGCAGGATTATCAGGGTGTTGTACAGGCAGGATTATCAGGGTGTTGTCCAGGCAGGATTATCAGGGTGTTGTACAGGCAGGATTATCAGCAGTAG